GTTACAACCGCAGCTGAGCCCAACTTTTCCCCTTAGCGAAGCAAGGCCTTTCAGGGAACAGTTTTGCCCCTAATGAGACAGTTGAGTGAGAGTGGCTCCGTTTTACGACTTCCTTGGACACATCGTTAAGTGAATCCTTGCCGTTGTTAACTTTAGTCAGGCGGTTGTTAAGGGAATTGGGCTTCTTCCCCCTGGACTTTGCCTGTCAGAAAGTTGCCATCCCGTGACCCCTGGACCTTGCAGCTGTCATAAATACGAGTCTGTGGCCAAGTGTCTGAATTTTGATCACCCGATTATGGGGATTCTGCAACGGTCCTTAAGGGTGGAAAATGACCATGAGTCACTTTTTACAGGGCTGTTGTAACTTGGAATGGTCACTAAATGAATGGCTGTAAGTCGAGGGCTCTCTGTAGCAGCTGCAATCCTACCGTGTGTCCCTGAAAACAAGGCAGGGTCTTATTTTCATTTGACCTTCGAAATAAGCACTTAGCTTTATTTTCGGGGAGGTCTTATTATTTTTTGAGGTGCAGGAGGCGGCAAGCGTGGTCACCTCACGGCTGCTGCGGTGTTGCAATGTTTTCGGTGGGGGGCTTATTTTTGGGGGTGGCTTATTTTAGCGCATGCGCTCAACCCCCCCCCCTTTGGGCTTATTATCCAGGGAGGTCTTATTTTTGGGAAAACAGAAAATCTCTCTGCAATTACTCAAAAATTGCAACAGACTGGAGAAGGATCGTCTCTTTGGATTTGGAAATCATAAGTCACTCGTTTTCAGGCCTGTTGTAACTTTGGACCATTGCTAAATGAATGCCGGCTCTCTGGGCATCCAAGATCCTTGGATCTGGATCATTTTTAGCAGTCTTACTCATGGATTGTGCAGGTGTGGGAAGAAAAATGGCTCCTTTCCTCCGCCATAAAGCAATGGTGACACTTCCTCCGTAAATAAACCTCCCTCCCTGTTGTCTAATTGATAAGTCATCAACTCCCCGGGGAGCGTTAGAAGTTCCTTCCTTCCCTGTAATTTTGCAGCAGTTTTTATTGTTCTTATAAATCCACATTAAGTGCACAGCCGTACACACATGTTACAAAATCATGAAACAAACCCCACTCAGGAAATTCAAACATTTATTTGCCGTAACTGTATTTCAGGTGATTTGCAGATTTGATTTCCCCCTTCCTTTCTTCTTCCTCCCTCTCTCCTTCTTTCCCCCTCCTTCCTTTCTTCCTTCTTTCCTTCCTCCTTCTCCTCCTTTGGCCATGCATGGGCCATCACCTACGGGGCAAAAAAAAATAATGGTATTTTAAGCAAAATTAAAATGGGAGGGTACGTCTTTTGCCTTTGCCTTTCAGATCCTTCCCTGAATCGCAAGATTGTCTTTTCCAAAAAATAGATTTGATTAAAAGTAAAGGTTCCCCTCGCACATATGTGCTAGTTGTTCCCGTCTCTAGGGGGCGGTGCTCATCTCCTTTTCAAAGCCAAAGAGCCAGCGCTGTCCGAAGACGCCTCCGTGGTCATGTGGCCGACATGACTAAATGCCGAAGGCGTATGGAATGCTGTTCCCTTCCCACCAATGGTCCTATTTTTCTACTTGCATTTTTACCTGCTTTTGAACTGCTAGGTTGGCAGAAGCTGGGACAGGTAACGGGTGCTCACTCTGTTACACAGCACAAGGGATTCGAATCGCTGAACTGGCGACTTTTCTGATTGACAAGCTCAGCGTCATAGCCACTGAGCCACTGCATCCCTAAAGTAATGCCTAAAAATTTAGGCGTTACTAAATCCACTTCATCAAACAGCTGGGTAGTTTTTCCTTGGATCTTCTTACTACAGAAATTGCCAAAGGAATTGGGCAGCCACGGTTTATAGTTCATTAGCCATGTCTGAACTGGGATTCCTGGCTTGTTGGGCTCTTAAGATACTGTGGCCCCAAAGAAGAGCTTTTCCTAGATCCTGGCTAACTTAGGGGGAGAAGGAAAAAGCAGCGTTCTCTCTCGATTCTTCATTTTCACTTGCCGGCATCCTTTATGATTTGTTATCTTGGCTGAAAATTGTGGGAACTGTTGTTTAAAGTTGTCTGGATGGCACTGGATAACAGTTAGGAGTCTAGAGATCTTAGCCCAGGTTTTCATTGTTACCAATCTGGCAAATTCATTTCAGTGAACTAAAGACTTTTTTAAAAAAGAAAATCAATGCCAACATAGGGTCATATTGGGGAAAGCGGGGTGGGGGTGGGCATTTCTCCAAAGACATGTGCCTAATAATTTGTAGCTGCCGAATGGGTCCCTTTTGTCAGCCATTCTCCCTTAAGAGGGTGCATTGATGTGCATTCTGTGAATGGCTGTGGGCCTCCTGATAGGCCTCCCTCCCCCTTTAAAAAAAAACATGTCGGATAACACTGGGAAATGGAGAAAATTATGACTGTTGAAGAGAACCTGGTTTTGTATCCCGGTTTGAAAAGGTAAAACTACAGATATTGGCTTTCATAGGGAAACTAAATTAATTTCTCTTCCCTCTCTAGTAGAGACTGCAGCTTTTTCTTTTCCTTCCTTTCTTCTCCTTCCTTCCATCCCTCCTTCCTTCTTTCCTTCCTCTCTCCTTCTCCTCCTCCTTCCTCTCCCTTCTCTTCTCTTCCCTTCCCCTCCCTTCCCCTTCACATCCTCTCCTCACACTTTTCCTTCCCTTCCTTCCTTCTCCTTCCTTCCATCCCTCCCTCCCTCCCCTTCCCCCCTCTCTCTTCCTTCCCTTCTTCCTTCCTTCCTCCTCCTCCCTCCCTTATTTCCTTCCTCCTTTTCCTTCTCCTTACTCTCCCTTCTCTTCCCTTCCTCTTCCTTCCCATCCCGTTATCCGTTTCCTTTCCTTCCCTTCCTTTCTTCTCTCTCTCCCTTCAGTTTCCCCCTTCCTTTCTTCTGCCTCCCTCTCTCCTTCTTTCCCCCTCCTTCCTTTCTTCCTTCTTTCCTTCCTCCTTCTCCTCCTTCTTACTCTCCCTTCCCTTTCTCTTCCTTCCCCATCACATCCTCTCCTCATCCTTTTCCTTTCCTTCCCTTCTCTTCCTTCCTTCTCCACTCCTCCCCTTCCTTCTATCTCTTCCTTCCCTTCCCTTCTTTTCTTCTTCCTTCCCCCCTCCTTTCCTTCCTCCTTCTCCTTCTCCTCCTTACTTTCCTTTCCCTTCTCTTCTCTTCCCCTCCTTCCCTTCCTTCTTTTCTTCTCCTTCTTTCCTTCCTTCCTTCCTTCCTTCCCCCCTCCCTCTTTCCTCTCCTTTCTTTCCTTTCCCTTCCTTCCTTTTTTTCCTCCCTCCCTCCCTCCCTGTTATTTCCTGCCAACAATGCCTCCATTCCTGAGAAAGAGCTCTTCTCTTTCTTCCTGCTGCTCCAATATTTTTTTGCTGGCCAATCTGATTTCTCCATCCGAAAAGAGCCCGCTCTTCAGAAAACGGAGACTTTGCAGAGAGAAGACCCTCAGGGAGCCTGCAGGGCCTTGCCTCCTGTGGGGTGTGTGTGTGTGAACGTTTTCCACCCATCCTTCAGTTTGCAATCTACCCAGAATCCCCTGATAAAGAAGGTGGGCAGCACCAAAGTGAATCAATCCATTTGGCTAGATTGGGCCTCTCACCAGGGGCTGCCACCTCTGCTTCCAGTTGCACCCCAACGCATTTCTGCTTCTTTCAGGGGGAAAGGTGGTCAAAAAAGTCAAGATGGCAGCCCCACCCATGTGATGCCGGCTCCACATGATGGAAATGGATTTAAAAAAGGGGGGGGAAGGGTTTCAGGTGCAGGGCTGTCCAGGTTGACTTCTCTGTCTGCCCTCCTTGCGTAGATCCTCCAGCTTTGTGCAGGGAGAGCACCTGAGTCAACTTTTCATTCAGAAAACGCATCAAAGTTTCCCCCCTCGGGGCCAAAGCTTCTCTGAAAAAGCCCACACCTGGCCAGCCCCAGACAGGCATTCAGTTATGGAGTTACCTATTCTCTCTCAGTCTTTCTCTCTCTCCTCACTCTCTCACTCTTCTCACCATTTCTCTCTTTCTCAATCACTCTCTTTCTTTCTCTCTCTCCTTCAATCTCTCTCTTCTCTCTTTCTAACTGCTTCAATCTCTCTCCCAGTCTCTCTCTCTCTCTCTCTCTTTCCTCCTCTCTTTTTCTCTCCTTCAATCTCTTTCAGTCTTTCTCTCTCACTCTCTCTCTCCCACTCTCCTCACTCTTTTTGTCTCTCACCATTTCTCTCTTTCTCAATTCCTCTTTTTTATCTCTCTCCTTCAATCTCTCTCCTCTCTCTTTCTAACTCCTTCAATCTCTCTCCCAGTCTCTCTCTCTCTCTTTCCTCCTCTCTTTTTCTCTCCTTCAATCTCTTTCAGTCTTTCTCTCTCACTCTTTCTCTCTCCTCACTCTTTTTGTCTCTCACTATTTCTCTCTTTCTCAATCCCTCTCTTTCTTTCTCTCTCTCCTTCAATCTCTCTCCTCTCTCTTTCTAACTCCTTCAATCTCTTTCCCAGTCTCTCTCTCTCTCTTTCTCTCTCCCACACTCTCTCCTCGCTCTTTTTGTCTCTCACTATTTCTCTCTTTCTCTCTCTCTCCCCTTCAGTCTCTTTCTCTTTCTCAATCTCTCTCTCTCTCTCTCTCTCTCTTGCTGCTCCAAGAAGGGGGCGTGGGGAGGGTCCCTCTTCCTCCTCCTCCTCCCATTCTGCTTTTGTTTCCTCTCGCAAGAGCTCCACAACTGCCTGACATTGCACGTCACACATTCTGTGTGGAGAAGGAAGAAGAGGGGGGGAAACCACCCCAGCTCCCCCCCCCCCCGGCAGCTCCTTTCAAAAGGCACAGGCAGCTCCGTTCTGCCTTCACAGGGCAGGGAGGAAGTACATCAGGCAGCTGAGCATGCCTCTCCCAACTTTTGCATGAGAGAGGAGGAGGAGGAAGAGGAACTCCAGAATTCTCCTGTCTGAGGCTGCTGTGATGCTGTAACCTGGCCATCATCAGTGAGAGGGAGAAGGAAAAAGGAAGGAAAAAGAGACGGAGGAAGGGGATTTGCCGGGATGGCTGGGCAGAAACTGGCTTGTGTCCTAGTAGGCTGACAGCAAGAACGCTTGGAGTTTGCAGCTGGCCGGAGCGGAGGCTTCCCTGGGGCTGAATCTCAGGATGAAAGCAGGACTTGCTGCCTCGGTTTCTCTCCCGCTGTCCTTCTGCCCCTCCTCTTCCTCTGGACCAGCTACAAATGGAGATGTCTGAAGTGTGGCCCTCCAGGAGCCCCCGAAGTTGAGAAGCCGTCCCTCCCCTCCCTTCTGTGGGTTGCTCCAAAATGACCATGGCCACCTCAGGGAGCGAAGAGAGCTACAGCATCCAAGCCACCGCCACCATCGCGGCCGTCACCACTTTCCTGATCCTCTTCACCATCTTTGGCAACGTGCTGGTCATCATCGCCGTGTTGACCAGCCGGTCTCTGAAGGCTCCTCAGAACCTTTTCCTGGTGTCCCTGGCGGCGGCAGACATCCTGGTGGCCACCCTCATCATCCCTTTCTCCCTGGTCAATGAGCTGATGGGCTACTGGTACTTCAGCAAGACCTGGTGCAAGTCCTATCTGGCGCTGGACGTCCTCTTCTGCACGGCGTCCATCGTGCATCTCTGTGCCATCAGCCTGGACCGCTACTGGTCAGTCAGCCAGGCCATCGAGTACAATTTTAAGAGGACCCCCCGGCGAATCAAAGGCATCATCCTGATGGTGTGGTTGGTCTCAGCGTTGATCTCCTTGCCCCCACTGGTTCTCAAGGAGAACCAGAACCTTACCAAAGAGGACATCCCCAAGTGCGAACTCAACGACGAGCCCTGGTATGTCCTGTCCTCCAGCACCTGCTCCTTCTTTGCTCCTTGCGTCATCATGATCTTGGTCTACCTCAGGATCTATTTGATAGCCAGGCGCCGGAGCAGACACAGCTCTCAAGCGAAAGGGCCCAACGAGAAGGTTCAAGGGGAGAAGTTGCCAAGCAAGGGGAGCCCACCAGAGGTGGCTCCTCCTCCCAAGGAGGACCAGGCCAAGCCAGGAGGGAACGTGGAGCCGAATGGACTTCAGGTCCCTCCCCAGGAAAGTAACCAAGTGGACTCCCCTTCACCCTCCACCAAAAACGATTCTCTCCAGAGCCAGGAGGGCCGGGAGCCAGAGCCAGATTCTGCTGGAAGCCCTTCTCCATCCTTGCCGGAGAAGAAGCCATCTTCAGAATCGAGCCCCATGGACTGCCTCCCAAGCAACGATGTCCAGAGGAGCAACGGAGCACCGTCCAAGTCGCCACAAGGCATGGACACTTTGGCCACGGCCGGAGGGGAGGTCCAGTTGGTGAGGAAGGTCAAGACGCTCAGCGCCAACCCTTGGAAGAAGAAGACCCACCTCAACCGTGAGAAGAGGTTCACCTTTGTTCTCACGGTGGTGATTGGGGTGTTTGTCATCTGTTGGTTCCCCTTTTTCTTCCTCTACAGCTTACGGGCCATCTGCCCCTCGGGCTACTGCTCTATCCCAGACAGCACCTTCAGGTTTTTCTTCTGGATTGGCTACTGCAATAGCTCCTTGAACCCAGTCATCTATACCATCTTCAACCAGGACTTCCGCAAAGCTTTCCGGAAGATTCTCTGCAGGCAATGGACTCAGACGGCTTGGTGAGACCGGCTGGGGTCTCCACGGGGAGAGAGACCAAGGGGGAACATGGTGGGGTTTTGGGGGGGTCCCTCTCTTGACACAACTCTATAAACAAAAAACCCAGAAACTTATTTATTCAGGGGGCCTTTTGTGTCAACAGGTGAGGAATTGAGGTGAGTGCTGGATCTGACGTGAGATTTTTTTCAGAAAGTTTTCTGGGGAAGCAAGTGTGTATGTGTGTGTGTGTGAGAGAGAGAGTGTGTATGTTTCCAGAGAGAGAGACAAGTAGGAGGTTGTGAGCTCGATCCCAGCTAGAGGCAGATGTAGGATCTCCTGCTTGGGCAGGGGGTTCGACTAGATGACCTGCAAGGTCCCTTCCAATTCTGTTAATCTGTTCTCTGTCTGCGTACAGAAATCCACACATGGACATGGGTGTTGTTTTTTTTTCCCAATGTATGTTTTTCACTAAAATGACTTTGCCAAAGTCCAAAGTCTTCTGATTAATTATTTTCTTCTTCTGCTTTTGGGGCTGAATGAAGGCTCGATGAAAGATTCGGCAAACTTGGTTGACAAGCCCTATGAATTCTTCCATTTACTAGGGTGGAAAAGGCCAAATATCAGCAGCTGTTTCTACGTGTCTGATTCTGCAAACAGTTAAAAAGCTGAAATAGATTTGCTCTTCATTGTTATGGCTGTTGTACATCTGGGTTGCCCTTGTGGGCATCTGTATGGCTTCAGCAATCCACATATATAGAAATATTCAAGCGTCTAGCATGGAACCCGTTTTGAAATAAATCTGCAAATCTGAATCTTTCATCTCGGAAATACACTTTCAGGGAGGTAGGGAGGTAGGTAGGTAGGTAAACAGACAGAGGTAACAACAGCCCCAAATCAAATGGGAAGCTTAATATAGATATTTGGTCCACACAGAAGGGAAAGAAAATTTTAAAATACGTAACTGAAGCATTGGAGCACACATTGACCTCCTGGATGGTCTGTGAAACTTTAGCGGATGCTTCGCTCTATGGCGTTGTCATCTTTTAAAAACCAGCTGTGCTCCTAAGCTGCAGCTGGGAAAGGTTTTGCTATCAGCTCTTTGCCAGATTCATCAGTTTTTCTATGGCCAACTTTTTTTGCATGTTCTTAACAGCACAGAAAGGATGTGGTGGCTCAGTGGCTAAGACGCTGAGCTTGTCGATCAGAGAGGTCGGCAGTTCTGCGGTTTGAATCCCTAGTGCTGTGTAATGGAGTGAGCTCCCATTCGTTGTCCCAGCTTCTGCCAACCTAGACGTTCAAACGCACGTAAAATTGCAAGTAGAAAAAATAGGAAACACCTTTGGTGGGAAGGGAACATTTAGTCATGCCGGCCACATGACAACAGGGATGTCTTTGGACAGTGCTGGCTCTTCGGCTTTGAAACATAGATGAGCACTGCTCCCTAGAGTCGGGAACGACTAGCACATACTTCCAAGGGGAACCTTTACCTTTAATAGCACGGAAGGAGGATAAGGCTGCCGTAGTTAAAAAAAACAAAATCCTCAAGAGGGAGGGCTCAGTCACATAATCGGGGACACTATCTTGATCTTAGTGACTTCCCCTCTGCAGAATATAGCTGGTCCTCAATTTACGACCACAAATTCCGTGGCAAACTGAGGCAGTTGCCAAGTGAGTTTGGCCCCATTTTACGACCTTGCTGCAGTTGTCAAGTGAATCGTTCGGTTTGTGAAGTTAGCCACATGGTCATTAAGCAAATCTGGCTGCTCCGTTGTCTTTGCATGTCCGAAGGTCGCCAAAGGAAATTGCACGACCCCGGGACACTGCAACCATCATAAATAGGAGCCCGTTGCCAAGAATTCGGATTGTGTGACCACGGGGATAATGCAAAGGTTGACCGCGGTGACGTGGTCGTAAGTCGCTTTTTTTCAGTGCTGTTGTGACAGTCGCTAAACAGATGCTTGTAAGTAAAGGGCTACCCCTAGCAGCTGCAATCTTAGGTCTCTGCCGTGAATCCAACAAAGGTGTTGATTTTTTTTATTATTATTAAGCATCATCTCTAGGAGTAGAGTAAGGAACTTTAAAATTGTTCCAAATCAGCTCTCTCCAACTTGGATCTGTTTAACTTAATTGAAGTTAAATGAAGAATGTTGGCTGAAATTATGGAGCAAACCTGTAGTGGTGGGATTCAATTTTTTTTACTACTGGTTCTGAGGGCTTGGCTTGGTAGGCGTGGCTTGGCAGGTATGGCAGGGGAAGGATACTGCAAAATCTCCATTCTCATCCCATTCAGGGGAAGGGTACTGCAAAATCTCCATTTCCTCCCCACTCCAGGGGAAGGTTACTGCAAAATCCCCATTCCCTCCCCACTCCAGGGGAAG